CAGCTTCCTACTGCTCGGGGCCCCCTCCTTTCTTGGCTGAGGATCCTGCATTCACGTGACTCCTGCACACTGCGGCCTCAATGAAATCCTCCGCGAGGGCTGCCAGCTCCCCCAATTTTCCATGAATTAGGCCCTGACACTTCAATGAGGGGAAAGACAATGTCTGAAACGCTCCCAGCCCTGGCGCCCGGCCTAGTCCGCGTCACACAACTTCCACCAGCTGCCCGCCCTTCCACACGGCACTTCACCAAACAAACAGACCCTTGAAGGCTCTCAGTGCTGCTCGGGGTGACGGCTGCCAGGATGTTTTCCCAGCCTCTGGCACCCACTGGCTCCAGACTGCGCCGGCAAAGTTTTCTGTTGTTGTTATTTTGTTTTTATTTTTTATGAATGGCTCTGGGAGAAAAATGCAGACGGAAGCACAATACTGCTGCCATTCATAAAAAGGGAAAGGAAACGCGCGGCTGTCTGGAAATCTTCTGGGATAAGAGCAAGCGGCAAGACGCTCGTCTCCCTGGAGGCATCTCCTGGCCCAGAACTGGATGTTGATACCCAGAAACCAGTTGCCCCTCAGGGCTCCCATCGTTACAAACATGGCTGATCACTATATATTTTATACGAAGAACCAAAGAATATCCATCATGCATGTTAATCTTTACTGTGGTTAGCAGTGTATTATCCTGCACCTTAAAAAAGATGAGGAATATTTCGCACATGCACTTCCCACATGAAAGCTTAAAATCCTCTCCGTTTTTAACATCAGCCCCCATGTGAGTGGAAGAGCCGGGCCAGGCCTTCATATGTCCATTTGCTCACAGGGAAACTAAGGCACAGGGAATTGAAACGATTTCCCCAAGGCTGTCTTCTAAACCCACGTCTTCTAATCCTCTTCATCCTCTGAATAATGATCTGAGGAAACTCATTCACATCCTTCAAAAAAAAAAAAAAAGTCGAATCTGATCAATCCAGGGGTATAGGGACTCCTCCTGGCCTTGCTTTCCTCCTCTGCACTCTCCTCCTCCCCTGGGTCTCAGGGCGCCCGCTGCCATGGCAGCTTGTGGAGCTGCTCCCTCAGCGAAGCCGGCTCTGCTTCGCCCAGGGGCCTGCAGACAAAAAGTGAACCCACGAGGACAAGAGTCAGGCCCACAGATCCCGACTCCCTTGGAGACGCTTCCTCAGTTATTGATTGTGGAGAGTCTGAGGACATCCCTTTTAAAGGTGTGGCTTTCATAACAACCGTTCGACTGAATGGAGAGCAAAGCCCACCCAGCTGCTTATTGAGACAATTCTGAAGATTCCGTTTCTAGTAAGTTGGTGCACATGGTAGGTTTGTAGAGTTTGGGCACTTTGTCGACGTGGCACGCGAAACTCACAGAGCACTGAGATGTTGCATTCCAGATATTAAGAGATTATTACACTTTTCAGAAGCCTGTCATGAAAACCTCTCCTTTTAGAAGTTGCGTTTAAACTTCTAAAATACAATGGGCGAAAGAGAGCCTCCTCCCAGGACAAAACATCAACAACAACAAAAGAGTTTGAAGAAATGCTTTGGATTAATATAGTGTTAAGCGAAAACTCCGAGAACTAACCCTGTCAATCAAATGTAGATTAAGAAAGGCCCTCTCAAACCACAGGGACGTGTAGTTTGCTGCAGGTTAATCCTTAGCCAAATTCAAAGTATAATCTTTAAGCAAATAAATATTATTGCCTGCAAATAGCTTAGGATACGGCATGCTAAGAAAGTGCAAAGGATACCAAAACCAGAAAGACCTTTTTATTATTATTTCTGAAACCATACAGCAAACCAGATTTCTCTAAATGAAAGGGGACATGTTACTGCATTTTTAAGGTCCACAGACTATTTTGTTTTTTTCAGATTTTGTAAGAAAGACACTTTTGCAGGAAGTGGTCTGCCACACCAGCTGTTTCAGAATAATTAAGGGGCTCCCCATGCCTCCCGGGAGTCCAACCTATGGTTCCTGGGAGTCTAGGTATTTCAAAGCTGTTGCTTAGACAGCTAAGCCACCCCTTCTAGAAGGAATTTAAAGAAAATCCTTCATAACAAAAGGTCTAGACATTATTAGCTCATTTGACTACTAATCTCAACATGAAATGAAAAGAGGCTTGAACTGG